AAGGACATCAGCGGGGATGTATCCATTTTAAAACGTGACAGAGACATTGATTTTTTCCCGTGCCAGATGAATTTAAATAGAAAACAAGACAAAATGAAAAGTGTCAATCAACCAAACACTATTCTTTGTGTTCCGTGTCAAAGGTTGGCGAGATAAAAAGTTCATTTCCTTCTACCGACCGTTTATTATTCAATAGTCGGGTTTTCTTTCATAAAAATCTCGGGTGGTACTTTTTAACTGGGTTTTGAACGACTGCGAAGTGGCGTATCACCCTTGAAAATAGCACAGGCAGAATCAATAACCCTTAATTAAAAAAAAAAAAATACTTTTGATTTAAAGAAACAATTCGAAAGGTTGTCGAATTTTTTTTTTCTGCTGATATTGTTTTATTGGGGACACGAGCAAAGTAGGGTTTTTTAATCTTGGATACACAAAGTTTGGAATTAGGCAAAGAAGGAATACAGTGCACAGCCTCGGTAGTGATTCAATAGGTAGTTTATAACAATTAGCCGGCAGACAGGGGTGATAATTAATATAACTTTGCACTTTGCAACATGTTTTGCGGTCGGTCGCAGCTGAGACGCGATTCTTTCGTCGCAATTTTCAACCCCCCTCCCCGGAAGCCTTGATTTCCGACGTCCAAAACGCCACCCTAAGTGCTGCAGTTTGTACACCCGAGACCAGACCGCACCTGAGCAACTAAAATATAATCAGCCTGAAATTAGGTACTTATTTCGTCTTGTACATTATGCCATTAAAATACTTACCTCTTAGCGCTTTTATAGGTACGAGGTAATAAATTACGTTTTAATGTCCTTTCTTTAGTCATTTACAGGTATTTAACTTTGTATGAGAAATTACCGATTATATGACTGATGCCAGCGTGAAGCACCCACATACCAAAAACGCCAACAAAATATTTCAAATCAGACAGGAAAAAGAGTTCTACGGTTTATTTTCATTGTCAGAACTCGGCATCTTTCGCAAAAATATAAAATTTACTACAACTATTGCTTGGCGTGGGCTCAGGGCTCCAAGCTGTGGAGCCCTCAAAAAAAAAGCACACTCGAAATATTAGATCTTTTTTTTCTGCAGTGGGCATTGCCTTCTGGAGTGGGCCATGCACACCCCTGCCCCCTAGCTACGCCCATGTATAAATCATCGTAATAGTAATTAGAAAACTGTTTACTAGATATTTTGGAAATCTGTAGCTGCAAGTACTATTTAAATATTTAATGAGATTATTAAAACAATAAAATCAACTTCCTCAATATTTTCATAATTTTTATATACAGGGTACACTGATTTATAGGTCATTTAAAATCGTAATAATTGCTTCCAGACTTGTGGATTTAGGACAATTACCAAAGACTCCTATTTTTCTCAAAATTTACCAATGTTTCGATTATACAGGGCGTTTCAGTCATAATGTAACTTTTAAGGGAAAATAGGGAAAATGAGTAGAATGCATATTTACGCTAAAAAAAATATTTTCTAATTATTTAACTCCTTTTCGGACCGCTCCTGACTGCTGACCTACATCGAGAGTGAATCTTGACCTACGGTGACTAACCTAACTCTAATATACATATTCTTAACGTTTTCACTGTTTTATAATTGAATATGAGTTTTTAGTATGTTCATGTAGGTAATTATTCAGTTTGTAGGACGTATACCTTATTATGTAATTTATTTAAAATGACAAATACGGCTAAAAGACACTCACTCGTTCGTCCATAAAGTTGAAATCCGTTGCACTTTGATTTTCGAAGCAATTGCAAAACTGGAGGGGACGACGACTAGGAAATCAGCTGTTTCGCTACAACGTTCGATTTTCTGTCTTTATTAGGCCTTCCGAATACGTAGTTAAAATTAATGACATTATGACTGAAACACCCTGTATATTTAGTCGTTCTCAAGGCTTAAACAAATTACGAATAGCCTTTAATACACATGAAAGTATTTTAGTTTTTTTTTCAAATAACTACACTTTCTAAAATTGATAGTTATTGTTTTTATGAAAATCATCGATGACGGGCCTGGAGAAGCCCTATTTGCGTTCGAGGAATTAAAACACAGTAGTATAAATACAGTGACTTTATTAAGTTTACTATTTAGATATATACACGGTTTATTTATTACAAATATGTATAAGGAAATCCCGTATCATGTACTATGATTAAAATTGATCTTGGCAATGGCGTCTTCTTTTCAAAGCCACGTACAATCTAATTTAGAGTTGTTTTTTTTACATCTAATGTAAAAAAATAAAGAAAAAGTTAGAAAATCCAATAAATAGTTTTATTTTTTAAGATTGCACTATAAACTAAATACTAGTGTAAGGTACAAAACAATGTTATACAAAAAACAACAGGCAAATATTGCGTTTTAAAAATTAATTTTCCCTTCCGGGGGGGGGAGGGGCTAAGTGGGTTGTTGGATTCAAAACAAACAAACAAACAAACAAACGTGATTCACATCGAACCATGTTAATCGATAGTCTATAAGTACGTAAAAATTAAAACGTTCGTACCGCTTTAAATTAAGTAAAATACTTTTGTAAAGAAACTGGCCATCTTATCGTATCGAGAACGACAAGAAAATTGTTAAGTGAAAATGTATAACAATCATTTAAGATAACAATATAACAATAAACAACTACTTAAACCATAAAAAACAATCTGATCGTTGACTAAGAAGGATAACACAATAAAAGGTAACTATATTGTTAACTGAAATATTCGCTTGTAATTTTTTGTAAAGCCATATGGATGAAGTGATGGGAAATTAATAATTTACTTTCTACACGCATTTTTGGCACATATTTTATTAAGTCAGTCAAGATAAAATTTTGTTTATACACTGCAGAACTATATCTACACGCTTTGAGCATTTTTAGGGTTTTCAGACTGCTATACTTGGAGAAACATCACTCACATCGTTAGTGTAAGTAAAATCAGTACGTGTCTTAAGAATAAAACAATAGAAGAACGCAATGCTGTTGGGATTTTTTTAGTCACAGATAAAATGGAAGGAAAGACGCTTTAAACCAAGCATATATATCATCTCAATTATTTCACTCGAACAGTTTTTTTGATAAACCTGAAATGATACCGGAAAAAAATCAGGCAAATGTATGGCTGCCTAATATTTTTTTAAATGTACAAGGTGTCCCGTATAAGAACTGACACAGGGCAGGTTCATGTAGGGGTGTCCAAAATATTGTAATTTAACTAAACTTAACCTATATACAAAGTTGCACCCATGAGGAGTTATTAGCCCCAAAGTGCAGCCCTAAATTTTGAAAAAATCACTTTACCGCAGAAGAACCAAATTTGGTACATGATTTAGGTTTATTACTGGTCTTCTTTAACTATGATTTAAAGTTAATTGAAGCATTACAACGTGTTCATTGGGGATGACACCCCTAAAATTGTACCGAACTTTTTTTCATTGTCCGAATTGAAAAATATTAATTCACAAGTAGAATTTAATTTTAAGAATTTTTTTACTCTTGTTAAATTTTAAAAAACTATGGTTTTGAAGAAAAACCGTATTAACTGAAACAAAATTTTAACAGTGTTTATTAGAAAATAATCGAAAAGTCAGTAGTAGGCAATGAATTTATCTTTCAAACTTGTTAGTTATAAGTTAGTAATAAGATTATTTTATTTCAACAAATGCCTCTGATTGTCGTTGAAAAAATATCAATTATTATTTTTATTATTTATTTGTGTTTTTTACTTAATACAATATTCGCTTATTTAAAAACTACCTAGGTCCTTGTTTTCTTTTTGTAGAAATAGGAGATAAGTGAAGTAAAATTTATTTGGCCATTTGTCAAATTTGGAAGATAAAGCCTACTACTGATTTTTAAAATCTTGTGTTAATTAATACGGTTTTTCTTGAAAACCATAGTTTTTTAAAATTTAACAAGAGTAAAAAAATTTTAAAATTAAATTCTACTGTGTGAATTAATATTACTATTTTTCAATTCGGCCAATGAAAAACAAAGTTCGGTACAATTTTAGGGGTGAGTCATCCCCAATGAACACCTTGTAGTGCTTCAATTAGCTTTAAATCATAGTCAAAATAGACCAGTAATAAACCTAAATCATGTCCCAAATTTTGTTCTTCTGCGGTAAAGTGTTGCAGAGATATTAATTTTTTTCGAAATTTAGGGGCCCCATTTTAGGGGCTAATAACTCTTCAGGGGTACAACTTTGTAAATAGGTAAGTTTGGTTAAATTACAATATTTTGGACACCCCTACATGCATCTGCCCTGTGTCGGTTCTTATACGGGACACCCTGTATTTAAAATAAAACTCTCCTAAGTTTAATACAGAGGTAGTTTTTGAAAAATTTCCATAAAGTCAGGGGCTGACAAAACATCAATATTTTTCTCTGAACCACATCTTTATTTTTGAAATAACAGGGTTTTTTAATGAAACAATGAAATGCGTTGCAAAGGTTTTGAGGGTGCTAGATATGCCAGTGTTGTTGGTTTTTGACTATTTTGAGGTTAAGTTTTTTACTGTGTAAAATTCAATTTTACATGAAAAGGGAATCTTAATCCGTAAACAACCAGCTTCTACTCGTAATATACAGGGTGTCCAGAAACGACTGGACCGTACCTCAAGGCTAGTTTGTTTAGATGAAAATAAACCGCCTTAGATCAGGTTACCTTAGAATAATTTTGCTTGCTTAGAATGATTTCAACAAGAGCCCGTTTTTAAATAAAATGAAATTTCAAAGCTTAATGTACCACATGCACCGTAAGAACCTAACCTCAAAAAAGTTATGTTGTAACAAATGGTCAAAAACTTACTACACTCTTGCATTTAGCAGCCTCAAAAACTTGCTTGTACTAATTTTCAATACATTTGTGCTGTTTTTTGGAGAATATATGGCCAAAACGTGATTTTTTTGGGTTTCATCAGTTTCTAAATGTATGGTACATTTTTCCAAAACACCCTGTACATATTCGTAAATGCACTTAATACTAGGGGATAACAAGAAGAACAATCAGTTGTCTTTGGTATGAAAATTTATGAGTACGATGTGGTAGAACGGTTACGCCTTTAGAGTCCAGGTCTGGCTGTACAAAAAATTAGCTATTATATTGTAAACAATGCAGATACCAATAAAAATATGTACTTATTTATGAGACATTAGATATTTACATATGGTACAAATCCAATAAAATATATTACTAATACATTTATATATACCTACGTTCGTAAACCTAAGCCTGTCGCTTATCCGTCTCATTTTGATATAAAAAGGAACATTCATTTCGTCTGGGTATTAACCTCAGTTCATATTTGGCAATTTGATATTTGCTCGAACCTTGCCCCTTTTTGATATGTCGACCGAAACACGGAATAAGTCTCACGTCTACCAAATCTTGATCAACCACCGAACTCGCGATCGCTAGGAGCAAAAACCAGGTAAAGAAGGATTATTTAACGGCATTTTTGACTAGTACACCTAGTACAGTTTCAAGTATCACATGTACGGCCACGAGAAGGAGCTGCCGGACAGAAGCATGTCCCTGATCAGGGTCTCGATGGGCGTCTTCCCCACGAGCCTGACGAAAAACAATTGTTCGATCACCGCAGAACTGACAGTCCGTAAACTCGGCAAACGCAGCAGCAGCTTCCCGAATCTGGTCGGCTGGTTGGGGTACTGGGACCTGCAGTACTCCTCTAGGGCGCACTGCGACTTCTCCTGGATGGACTCTATGTGGGCGACGTCGCTCAGTCCGCACGCATCTGCAACAAGACGGGGTCGTTACCAACATGAATCGAAAGTACGGCGAAATTATTCAATTTATTGAATTACAAGCTTTGGATAACAACAAACGTAATAGTAAACACAGTTGGTCGGCGTACTTGTTTAACACCCTGTAGTTTAATTGTTTTACGGTATATTTCGACATCGTGGTTATTGTGAGAGTTGTATGCACTAAACTGCAAAATAACTTTAATCAGTTGAGTATCATTTTTTTCTTTAAAAATATCTAAAGACGTGCCTGTGCGTACGCCACTGGTGAAACGGAAAACTATATTTTTATCGTAAAACATGTATTGTTGTTAACTGTCAATGCTTGTAAAGTTTCATTAAAATATTCTTAGCGGTTTCCGCAATATTTATAAATTTGCATTTTTTTATTAAAACTTTAACACCCTGTGGATCGGAAACTAAGGCTTTTCGGAATATGGTATATTTAGGAAATATATCACAAATCACTTGTACTATAATCTCCTGCAAGGAATGCATCGACTTACCAAACACCCTGCATATACGCAAGAAAATATTTTCTTCTTTCAAGAAAATTATTTATTTATTTAAATACTTTAAATTTCTACCCAGAAATATAATTTCTTACTTTAAAAATAGCATTTAAAATAAATAGTTGATACTTACGGTTAGACGAATTCTATTCTTAATTTTATGATCTACATAGATTTTATATAAACATCTTTTGTATATATATTAATATGATTCTTTCTTTCTGATCTGCTCATTTCATCCAAATGCTTTTTTTTCGGTGTATACTTTTGTTCGTGCAACTCTCTTGGTTTCGACAATGCCTACGTATATTTTAAGCTACGAAAATTGAATAATTTCAAATATGTTGAATTTTCACCACCAAGAACGGCGGTGACAGCATTTTTAACATTAAGGCGATGTTTCGCATTGTATTAGCCTCGGTATTAGCTATGCCCTGTCCAAACTTTAATATCTGAGGTTATTAATTTGTGGTATACTTAGTTTGTTTCTTTTTCTCTATTTATTCGTGAATTTTGCCACCTGATATTTAAAAAAGAACTATGTAATAATACAGTGGCGGCGCGTGAACATTGATCGAATGTGTTCTGCTTAGGGTTGTTACATTTGTTGAATTGAATTCCGGGATATTAAGTGCCGGGAGTTTCTAAATTTTAAAATTTTTAAGGTCACGCGTTTTCCTGGCACTTCTGAATTTTAAGGAACAATGAATTTATAAAAAAAAATACAGATTTTCACAAGAATGATTTTTGAAATTGACACCTTTTTGAAATATCCATTTACGAATTACCTACTGATGGTATAATAAATTGGAATAAACTAAATATATTTTATTAAATTATTGAATATTGTTTATAAAAAAAAAAGTCGTTTGTGAAATTTACCAACAATTCAACGAATTTTAATTTTTCTCGGCGTGTTATGATTTTTTCTTTATATTTTTTTATATATATGTACATTATATTATATTCCGGGAGTTATACGTGCAAATCCGAAATCCGGGACCATACAGCTAATTCCCGGTACAATCACAGAAAATCCCGGTCATACCAATGTGGCTAGATGTTCTTTTAAAATTTATGAGTCCACGAAACACATCAGGGTTGTCCGAATTTTCTGTCTTGTCGTGTCCGAAAAGTGCTAATTCGAAAGCTCCGCAAAATTTTATGCAATCTATGATTTTAAATAATACATGACGATTTTTCATTACCTGTTCATATGTTTCCGTATATTATCCCAATATGCAGAATCTAACTGACTTCTTATGTTTATTTTACCTAAAGACTTAATGACTTAAATCTTTCACACTGTATATTGTCCATGCTTTATCCCCACCGAAAAGTAAGCACGGAAAACAAAACAGTGAATATTTTAAATCACACCCGCACACCCACTCTGCTTTTGTGTATACATTATTGTTTTTTTATAACTTTTACTTCTTTTATTTTTAGTTTATCCTCATAAGGCAGAGAACCAAATAAAGTTTTTTTTTAAACGAAACGCTATTCATTTTAATAACTATAATATCCGTAGACGCCTAAACGAAAATATTCACACGTGCCGCTCGCAGAAATAAACCACCACATACCACGTACGAAATATTACTGCATTTACTGCAGACTGCAGCGCAGTGGCTGTCACTATTGCAGCCGCCAAAGCCCCTATCTTTGTGTACTGGGTCACGTGCCTGATCAGCCAATAAAAACAAAGGAAGCATATAATTGTTCGCTGTCCACACATTGTGTATATGAGGTTGCATATATTAAGGAGCGTAGCTCGCGTCGCAATAAATAATAATATAAGCTCCTAGATTTATTTTAGCGCGAGTACATTTGGATTCTTTAAATATTTTGTTGATATTTAATATGATTAAATACATAAAATTTTATGTGTTCTGCAGCTCCGCAGCTCTTATGGTAAAACCGCCACTGTAATAATATAACAAATATCACAATTTCTAGCTACGGAAGCAGATGAATAGATTATTTTTCTAAACCTTTTTCTAATTTGACCCCTGACTGACTCACTTTTTTTGACGAAAGGGTGTATTTAATTATTTTTTTACCGGTGTTAAAATGCCCAAATAGATAAAAAAAAATCTCTAGCCAGAAATTTAATAGATCTTTTACGAAGCGGAAATACTAGAGGATTAAAATGAAACTGGACGAGTAATGACACCGAGGTTAGAACTAGTTTGCGATCAGTCAACCTATCGATAAATGTTAGATTAATTAGAGATATTAATTAACCCAAAATTGAATAGCACAGCGCTATCAATCACATTTATTTTCATCTATGGACAAAATCGCTTTTACGATTATGCACGTTCATGGCAAACATTTTATCCCGCCATACAATTTTCATCCTGTATAGATGAAAAATTAATAATAACATTATAAATGTCGGCACAAATTAAAATGAAGATAATATGTAAAAACGAACACATTCCATAGCGCTCTCGCGATCATTAGCATATGTTAATTTGGAAGGAGACTAATCTATCTAAAATGTTTATAAATAATTAATAATGTGCGTGATTTAAGCAGATGTAATGGGATAAATGTCGGTGGATAAATTTTAGTATAAAGCGAATGACATAAAATAAAAAAGGGGGCCATTAGCATAGCAAAGTTCGTATGTTAATTACATTTTGTTGCTTAAAATAGCCTTGAAAATTCTTGACCTCTTCTTATATATTTGACATATCTCTAAAAATACACGGCTAAATGCAATTGTCTCATGCTTGGGATTTTTTTCAGCCCGTTCAGAATCCATGTCAGCTGTTACCAGTATTAATAAACTCGTATAAATTAAACCTCTAAGTTTAATCCATTATTAAAGACACCCGTCTATGCTAATCCTTGTTCGTCAATTTTTAATGGCTCTAAGGACAATTAAAACTTCCTAATATAAGTCTACTTTATGTTGACGCAGGATTGTAAACTTTCCGTAATCCTTTCAATTGTTCATTTACAAAGTTTCTTTGTTAAAGATGCTTCTTTATAGCCGGTACTTTAATAGCGCCGAACTTTTATTTATCAACTTTGATAATTCTACCCCAATGTTTTATTTGTACGTCGACGAATTACTCGGTTTTCATCTATTTCACCACACTTCCGAAAAGACATTAAACCGAAACGTCTACGAAATTCCACACACATTTTTTATTCAGCTTCACAACATTTGTTAATATTCCGAAACCGTTCGTTAATACACGATATTGATTTTCCCAACTTTTGTGTCACAGTAATCGCCTACCTTTGTATTGGGGCACTGCGGTCTCCTTACTATTGTTACAAATCTAGATTCATTAATCCAATGGGAGATAGATTATCTCATCTCCGGGTCAGTAGGGAGCTGATGAGCAACCTTGTATCCTAAGGCGTCTTTTACAACAGCAAATCCGTTCATTAATTCGATAATTTACCCACATCGGTACGGAATATCCAAATTTTCCGTCTGTTTTAATGTAAATAAGTAAAAAACAAATCCAAAAAAAAATTTGAAATAAAAAAGCGCGAGGCTCCTATCTATGCAGCATATTTTCCGTGTTCACCCAAAATTTGCAAATTTGCATACAATGGCAAGCACAATATTGTTGAGGAGTAAATGTTGCCATTGTTACACTTTTGCATCGCTAGTCATCGCTTTTGCTGTCGCTTTAGTTCGCGGTTAATGGACGCGTCGTATAGTACGCGGGTATTGTCTGATGTCAGTGTGAGGAATGGTACAAAGGCTTTAAGGATAAGGACAAGGCAGGTATTGATTTAAAGTAAATAAAAAACAACTTCCTTACAACAAAACAAAGTAAAAATAAATTCAACGTAATTTAATAGATACTTATTATATTATCAAATACCTGCATAGGTCGCTAATAATGAAACTATCTAACAATATTGTTTTATCTCTTGAAACACCTTTTTCAAAAAGTAAACGTAAACTACTGCTCTAAACTAATTTTCTTGAGCTATATTATAGTTTATGTATATTCTGTAGGCACAATTACCAAAATATAAAAGTGCCCAAAACCTTTATAAAAACGTCCAAACATACGTTTTCGAACTCGCTGAACTAGAACTAGGTTTTGCCAGATTTACTCCATCTAAAAAAAAAAATTTGTGCTAAATTTTTTTGAGCTATATTATAGTTTATGTATATTCTGTAGGAAAAATTACCGAAATATAAAAGTGCCCAAAACCTTTATAAAAACGTCCAAATATACGTTTTCGAACTCGCTGAATACGCTGGTTTTGTCAGATTTACTCCAACTTAAAAAAAAATTTTGTGCTAAATTTTCTTGAGCTATATTATAGTTTATGTATATTCTGTAGGAAAAATTACCAAAATATAAAAGTGCCCAAAACCTTTAAAAAATATCCAAATATACGTTTTCGGACTCGCTGAAAACCCTGGTTTTGTCGAATTTACTCTAACTAAAAAAAAATTTTGTCCTAATTTTCTTGAACTATATTATAGTTTA